GATGCCCGCCATGTTCCGCACGTGCCCCCTGGTGGTCAGCGCAATCATAGCAACCGGTTGTTAGGCTGTTCCGCTGTTCAGTCTATTTGCATAGTAGGGCTTTTTATAAAGATAAAAGGGTGTGTGCCTGCAGCTCCCCCTCAGCACACTCACACCTACTTCCAGTCTCCAAGACCCTTGCAAAGGATTCAAGGTCTTACAGTGACACTGAAAAGGCGAGAAAGTAGTTGGCAGGCTTATATTTTACCAATTGTTTGCTTGGTCGAGCTGAGTCAATTCAGGATTAGAAAAGTGACAAATTTCACTTAAAAGTACTTAAAACTAAATAGAACAACTTCTTTTGTGGTTCCTTGGCCACCATTGTCTCTTCTGGAAAACAAAGCAGTGTGACTCAGACTATTAAAGCTTGTGAAGAGACTTCAAGGAAGTGAAGATTCTTAGTGCCTCATTAAGTGTTTCAATTCTCAAACATCCCTTATTTTGTATTCTGCCTCTGATCTTTTGTACAATGTCTTTGTTTCCTAGTTTTAAATTTCAGTACTACAAAATTATTTGTTACTTTAAAAATTATTCCTAGAAAAACGGTAATTTAATATTCAGATTCATAACACTAATCATAAGGGACCTTGAATATTTTGTTACATTTGCAAATTCTTTTAAAAGCTAATTTAAAAAATTCATAACAACTTCATTCCTATTAGCTCCAAAGTGGAAACAACTCAGATGTCCATTAATAGGTAAATGAACAAATTATAATATATTCAGACAATAATTACTATTCAGCAAAAAAGGGGAATACACTTTTGATTCTTGCATTAATATGAATTTCAATACATCCTTTTGAGTGAAAAAGCCAGAGGTGAATGAGCACACACTGTGTGACAGCATTTATGTGAAGTTCTAGAGCAGGCAAATGCAAATTACAGTGACAGGGATGAGAACAGTGGGTGGAAGGGATTTGGGAGTAAGGAGATGGAAAGGGGTACAAACAGGTGATGGTTACGCAGTTGTAATGCATTTGTTAAAACTCCAGTATGCTTAAAATCTGTGTATTTATTGTTATGTAAAGTACAATCCAATTTAAAAAGTTACATAAACATCCACTAAGTGACAAGAATTTATTACCTGTGTCTGGACTCTTGGGGCAGAGAGAATGTTCATTTAAGTCTCAAAGAAAGATTCTCATAAGAAATTAAGAAATTGTTAGATAACAATTCTAAGTATAGATTTCTTAAGCCTGCAAAACACCCCCCTCCCCACCCCATATAGGTCAACCATTAAAAAAAAAATGCTCTCACTGAAAATATTCACTGAAACAGATAACAAAATATTTATTTTATTGTTATAAAATAAAAAATGGTAGACAAGCATAAGTAGTTACAGTTCCAAAGTAGAGCAATACAAAAATGTAAATTATTGCAGTTTTAAAAGAAAAGTGTAACAGCCAAGTATTGTCTAAACTTTTTTAAAACCAAGTTGGTTCTCACCATTGCAGTTGCATTTTCTTTTTCCAAATGTCTTAGCACAATGTTGTGAAATAAATTTCTAACACCACAGAGATTAAGTTCAATGACCAGAGTGTAAGCTACTCAGACTTAAAACAAGGTTAACACACACAACATATTGTAAAAGTGGGAATAGGTTTAAAACAGAAGTTGTTACTGAACATTTCCTAAACTGCCTCTTTTCAAGGTAGTAGAATGGAAATAAGCATTCTACATGTTTGAAAGAAATAAGAAACACATATTTACTAAAATTCCCTTTGCCTTGTGTGCGTGCGAGGGAAGTTCAACTAAAACTTTTTGGGGGTAAGAGGGTGGACGATACTCATTTCATGATTTTGTTTCACGCTAGTATGGCTAACTGCAGTCATTATCTGGACTCATAAACTAAAAAGGATAGAAAAAGCATGTTACAAACTAGATACTAAAAAAAAAATCTTAATGGAGACTTGCGGTGATGTAGTTTTCAGCAACATGACCGAATTGCTTAATACATTGGACTACTTTATGGCAAGGACAATTAGGAAAGGACGAAAGGGATGAAAATACTGAGATGCAAGACAAAACCTTGTTATTCCATACACAGTATTACATTCCTCCTCCAAGACACCTGTACCTGTGCCAGAGCCCTGTTACCTCAGTATTCAGGTAAGTCAGTCCTCTCTCATCCCATCACCAAAGACTTAACTTGGCAAGAACAACCTGTGGAGTTTTGTCTCGTACTGGTTTTTTTTGCCACAAATTTTCTCAAATAATTATTCCCACCCACCTAAAGTGAAAAATGCAATTAAACACTGAAATGAAATCAATTATCTTTGTTTTACAGCCACATCTGAACAAAATATATTTAAGGGAATTTTTAAGAGTACTAAACTTCTTATTAAGTACTTGAAAATACTCAAATATCTTACCTTAGCAGAATCGATAACATCTGTCAGTAAACTCACTGGCACAAATCAGAAAAATAACACTATAATAACTTTACACTATACCCTTTAAAAATTTTCATGTCATATAACCTAATTTTATGGTCACTAACCTGAACCTCCTATTAAGCTACACAAATAATTTATCCTTTAAAAGTTCCTAAAGTTTAGAGCACATACATTTTGTATTTCATTTTACAATAATGCAAGAAAATTTCTTTTTAAAAAATCAAAATAAAACCCAAAATGGCAAACATACCCAAATAGATCCAAAAACAGACGCAAATGTAAACTCCAAAGTAAAGATACATAAAGAAAGAAAGCAAGCACTTTAAACCATCTCCAGTGGTAAAGAATATAGTGAAATGGAAATCCCGAGGAAATCTCAAGATGCCAACAAAATAGAATATATTTTGACTATTATCTCTGAAACCACTTTCCAACATGAACTTATTTTAAAAATAATCCTCAAGTATATATAAAAATGGGCACTTTGTGGTGAATTGAGCATATAATTTGAAAAATAAGAGCATTTCTTTGCTCCAACATTATGTATAAGAAACTAAAAAATACTATTCTGCTGACTGCATCATCTATTACTGGGGTCTTAAGTGCGTGACTTTAAAAAAAAATAAGACAAATTAGGATATTATATATACTAAGGCCAAAGGATGACAAAAGGCTGACTTGGATTTGAAAATTTCAATCAAGAGAATAATCTTGGATAGTCACAACCACTTTGACTGTAGACTGGTTTTTTAAAAACTGAATTAAACTTGTTTAATTATTACCTATAACGTAAAAAAATATCAGTCTTATTTCACTCCCCTTAACCATATAAGCTCTGAAATTAATAACAGATAACTTGTCTCTTTTGCCATTTTTAAAACTGAAGGTATAGGTAAGATTTCCTCCTAAACTTCCTCAGAAAGTACCACCAACTGTACAGAAGAAGAGCGAAGTATGGTAACCAATATTTGTGGAATTTCAGTCTTTCAAGGTTAGTGTCCCTTAGCCTTATTTTAAAATATATAGGAATTTCATATTCAACCAAGAAAACTAACATTAGAATATAAAATAAGTTTATCAAATATTTGGAAAAACTGCTGTGCAAAATAACAATTTTTTTTACTAGAATATTTTACCCAAATAAAGTACTAGTGTGAATACCAGCACCACAGACATTTTTAAAGAGCACCTTTCCCTTGAAGACCTTAAATAGAAATATCTAAGTGGGATAAATCAGAGTCCCTAATTAAGACCTTGGCACAGGCATCATCTCATTTAATTGTCCTAACGCGTCAGTAAACCTGCACATTTGCCAGAAATGCTTTAAGAAGCAAGCACATACTTGCTTTGGATAGCACTGTTGTGTTCAGGGCCGCACCATATGGCTCCCATTCCGGAAATATGCGACTACCATCAAATGCAACACATCCCAGACTTTCATGGCCGTCCCAAAGTGATCTAAATAGAAGCACAAATGTGTGCAAGCACACTGGCTGGTAACACCCATAATGAATTCTGCCAAAAGAGAGTCAAGTCAAATTTGAAAATGTGACCAAAACAACTAAGCACTGAGATACCTACTGGCATCATCCGGAAAAGGTTGATTTAATTTGTAAATTTATGGATTTTGATATTGCACGTATTCAATGTAAAGCTTATCAAACACTAAGGCAACGTGTCCCCACTCCTGAATTTTAAATTCATTTTGGATAACTCAAAGAATTGAGAGAAATTGAAAGCATCTTTCAAAAGCTCCCTCCAAAAAAGCAGTTATGTCATACTTCAAAGAAAACAGAACAAAAATTAATGAGATTAGCAAGCAATACTCGGGCAAATTTAACACATTCTAGCTTTATAAAAAGTTGTTTCCACTAGTTTGAGGTGTTGCTTTGCTTTAGTCAAATAGCGTTTGTGTTCGACTAAAATCTGACCCAAGTCAGGGCAGGCTGCCAAATTTAAGGCAGAAGTCATTATATCTTTGTATGCATGGAGCTACCCAATTATGAGCGTTCCTGTAGATTCTTTCAAGCAAAGGATCTTACCTTATAAACACATTCTAAACACCAGCTAAAAACGAACTTAGAGCCCATTTGAGTTCTACATTGGTTGAGGATTTTACTATAATAAATTAAAAACATATCTAGCTGTTTGAGACAAGCCATTAGTTCAGAGCTCTTTGGAAACATAAGCAACATATAAAATCCTTTAAAAAATGAGCTTCCTAGCCCTGGCTGGGTCGCTCAGTTGGTTAGAGCATCATCCCAATACGCCAAGGTTGTGGGTTTGATCCCCAGGAATCAACCGTGAATGCATAAATAACTGGAAAAACAAATTGATGTTTCTGTTTCTCTGAAATGAAAAAAAAAATGGGCTTCTTTTTTTTTGAATTAGAGTTTTGTTTTTCTGGGTCAAGCAATCTTCTCTTTCC